CTCACAAAAGATGACGTAGAACATCCAGTTTTACCTCAAAACTCTCAAAGTGTTTTTCCACAAAGTTGTTTAGATATAAATTGCATGGATCAGTCATTGAGTCAATTTTTTACAGACATTCATTCTGAATGAATCTCAATACCTCTGGTGATCTTGAATGAAATTTCTGTATCTTTTAGAATGATTGCATTGACATTTTTTGACATTTCATCAAGTTTTTCTCGAGATGCATCTCAATAACTTTTTGTCTAGCTCCACGATCACGTCAAAATTATTATTCTTTCCCACATGCTGGTTTATTACAGAGCCCCACAAGGGACATTGGAGAAAAAAAACGGAGATGAACTTTTGCGAGATCTCGCGAAATAGGCCGCATCCTTCAGAGGTCGCCAGCTCGAAGCTGACCGTGAGGTCGAGGCACAGTGTGCCGGGAGTATGGTCCTCCCCCCGGTTCTAGTAAGCCTCGACCTAGCGGTCAGGTTCAAGCCGGTGGGTAACAGATGTCTTCGAAAACGTCGGAGCGCTTTTGCAAATATGTGATGTCTTGATAAACCGAGCAGATGTTTGAAGTTTACACAGCTACATTCTTGCCTCAAAATATCTTAGTTTAGTTTATTTTGAAACCCAGAAAGAGTAATATTAAAACTAAGTAGCTGCCACCATTGTTGGAAACTGGAAGTGGCTGGGGTGCGCTATGAATTCTGGGATAGTTTGGACCACGAAGGATACACCGACTCGGCCTTCAAATGCGACCTGCGAAGGATGCGGCCTATTTTGCGAGATCTCGCAAAAGTAACTCTGGATCTCACAAAAGTTCATTGTCATTTTTTTGTCCCTTGTGGGGCTCCGTAGGTTTTAATTCCACAGCTGCTAAAAGAAATCATGTTCCTATTAGCCTCAGCTGTACTTTGACTTCAGGGGTAATTAGCAGACTTTAGCATGCTAACGAAACTCCTGAGGAGTGTTGAATTGTGTGATTTTTAAGTTTGCTTTTATATTCAACATGAACAGATGGTGTTCACTGTCTTTCAAGATTTCATACCACACAGAAATGAACACAAAATGGTTGTTTGTTAAATAACTCGAGTCAAAGATGAGTATATTCATACGATGGCTGGCAAATCTAATCATGATGGGCCTACAAACACTAGTGACCACACTAGATCCTGAATGAATGGTTCCTGTGTATTGCAGGTGTAATTTTATGTTGAACACCCGGTGTTACAGAAACGTAGGTTTGCTTCGTCTTTGAATTAAAAAAGTGTGTTTATTGGCTGAACTGCAGAAGATATGTACTTGAAGGTTATTTCTTTTACATCTAGTGCATGGACATGAGCACTAAGCTAGCTATAGCTGAGGTGATAGCAGAGCCCATCACTTTTACATAAAGTGATATCCTTTTACTAATGGCTGTAGTATGACCTGTGGATCAGCGGGCTGTTGAGATGTAAGATGGTCTAGCTGATGGTTGAAACAGTCATTCTTTACAACACATCCATTAGATTGTGAAGCAAAGTGGAGCCATAATGACTCCATGGGCAGCTGGAGATTTATTAATGTGCTGGCTCTCCATTAAGTTGTTGTAATTGTGTTTGATGCTATGCTATATAAAGGTGCAAATGTTGCAAGCTGGTTCAAACAGTCCTATTATTCCATTTTCTTTCCCCCAAATTAATATTTGTGCTAAATTACTGCTAACTGTCATTCATAGGAGAGTAGGTGACAGCACAACAAAGAACTTTACCTTGACAGCAGAACATTTATGATATACACTCTTCTGTATGTGCCCTGTCAGTAGTAGTGCCCCGATAAGGACTTGCACACTGTTACTTTGTTCAAGAACCTTTGCCTTTTATGATGGTGCTAGACACTTTCATTGGCAAATACAAACCTCTTTAACCCCACACCATGGCTTAGCTTTCTGTCGTTTAAATATGAATGCATAAGTAAATAAATGCATAAATCAAACATGTTATTTTCAACATTAAACTGATGCAAAAACAATATTGGAAAGCAGAGCAGCAAACTGTCTGCTGGTCGTTTGGACGACTAAGCTGCACTTTCTTCCCAAGAAGCTGTCAACCTGCAGGCAACTTCCAAGTAAACTTAAAAATAAAAATAATGTAAAGGTGTACATTTTCAAAATATTGGGAATGCTAAACTGCAACTTGTAAAACTTTACATGATATAAAATAAAAGTGAATAGACTGGATCTCTATTGATGCATGCACTCTGTTTGCAATATTTGATTGTACAGTTGATCGTAGCTGTGAAACTTGAACATGGTTATATGAAGAAAGGCCACGTGTCAGAGTAAAACCAGGGTGATATTATTCATTCATTTATTTATAACTTTACTTTTATGTCTATATATTGTCTAATTTAATGAATATTAATAGTAACAAGGTCATTATATGCTTCAACTACAGAAGCATACTTAGCTACTTATATATTCCAGAGGCCAGAAGAAGACTTATTGTCTGCTTTTAGTTGTTTAGAAATTTAGTTCCATTTTTGTGTAACGACACTTGACTCATTTAGTCACTAAAATAACTGATGAGGCTGAGCACTGATAACCACACAAGTTTTAATTTGTTTGAAGCTGCTACAGCTATCAGACTACATTATCATATAATTGATCGTTGAATGTATAGAACCTCCCTCACTTCATGAAGAAAAGCCTAAAACACTCTCATAAAGCAGGGAGAACAACAGGATGTGAAATGTTAATATACAACTTTCCGTACTACTGACAGAAACCACAATATTGGTGTTTTGGCCATCTTTGAACAAGAGAATGGAGCACAAAGTTATATGCTTGTTTAGCAAGCTACAATATAAGCTATAGACAAATTTGATCTCACTTAGCTCTCAATGATGTAGCCTTAAAATGGGGCTAATCTGTATTTATTCAGCTTTATACTTTCTTGTGTGCTTCGAGCCCTGGGGACTCACAGCTGTGTTAAAACAGAAAGTTTAAGAGACACAGTTCAGAGTTCAGCATTATTTCCTGTCCTTGTGAGAAACAAACCCAGAAGTCCCTGGTCTAGTGTCCCAGTTTTCGTTTTTCCCCATGCGTTCGCTTTTCATTCCATTCTCTGACTGGCTTGCCTCCTTGTGCAGTGTTATGCATGGCTATAAATGAATGAACATATAGCATCTTCATGCGTCAGCGTGTATTTCCATTATTCTCCAGCAAACTTTTCTAGCAGCATTAACATGTCTGTACTTTTCAACATGATACGTTCACAGGGCTGTTTGTTTTACACAGCTGGATATGTGTATATGAAAGACACAAGTTTTTTTTTTCACTTATGCACTATAATTAAACACCCATAACAGTTAACTCGGCATTACATGCATATATATTATATACTCTTTGAAAACATAAAAATAACTATATGAACTGCCTATGATTTGCCTTAACAGAGCAGGTGTCTGTAGCTTATTTTCTCTTCAATTCAATTTTAATTATACAGCGCCAAATCACATCAACAGTCGCCTCAAGGCGCTTTATATTGTACAGTAGATAGAGAGAAAAGCCCAACTATCATATGAGCAGCACTTTGGCGACAGTGGGAAGGAAAAACTCCCTTTTAACAGGAAGAAACCTCCAGCAGAACCAGGCTCAGGGAGGGGCGGGGCCATCTGCTGTGATTGGTTGGGGTGAGAGAAGGAAGACAGGATAAAGACAAGCTGTGGAAGAGAGACAGAGATTAATAAAAGGTATAGTTCAGTGCAGATGATTCATTAATGTTCTATTTTATTTTTTATTTTTACACTTGAAGTGAAAACTTGACATTCTTAATTACCTCTAACATATAAAAATTTCCACTTAGACTAAGTACAATTAAAAATAAAGCTCAAATACAGTATAGTGACTGGATTATAAAAAATATGGAGCCCATGATTTAAGACCTATTCTTTTTGTGGTGATGATAACAATATGATTCCAGGTAAAGCTGGATTTTCATTCACATAATTGTATTCGGTCAAAATGAAGCCGATGATTTAAACACTGATACTATGTTCCTGGTTAACCATGATTAGATCAGTCTGTCTGTTTTCTACAGGTTAATGAATTCAACTTAAATCATGAGTCAAGTTTACTGGATTGCAGCATCGCATCGAGTTATTCAGAAACATTTGTTGCTAAGATATCTCAATCCGAGCTTCAATTGCAATGAATTTCACAGATTTCTTTTCTTTAAATATAAAAGTTGACCTCATGGACAGTGCTGTGTTTTTATGCAGAGATCAGATTATGTATTAATTGATCGAAGTTAAAACCAGAATAAAGGCAGGTCTATACTTCACATATCACCTGTACTGTCCGCGTGTGAGGAACTGATGCTATACTGACAAACAAACGTGATATTTGTTAGTAGAAAAAGTATGTAAAGTCACGTGACTCGTCATCTGGTTTTCACTTTAGTTGCATTTTTTTCTTCTGCTTCAGGCTGACAAGATAAAACCAGTTCTTGGAATTTGTGTGGTTCATTGAGATAAGAACTCGTGCTGCTACTGAAGCCCCACTGAAAGCTGCAAAACCTGAAATAAATAAGCAAGCAAACAAAAATAACTACTATAATTAGCTTGATCAAATCCTGGAGTGTGAGTGTTTGAGAGATGTTTCTTGTGATGAGCTTGGAATATTTGTAAAATATTATACAAACACTAAAGAAAATGTAAATAAGCAGATGGATTATAATATATTCTGATGCAATAAAAAACAAAACAAAACTCTGGTCTGTGCTTCTGAAAGCTCTGAGTGTGTCTTTTTTCCTTATTAGATAATGCCACAAGAGCCAAGTGATTCAGGTGGTAATGACTTACATAAATAACCAAACAAACTCCAAATTTAATAACTTAATTTATTCCACAACAATGACTTACAGTACAAAAACAATTATATAGAAGAGGATATTTCAAAAATCCAAAAGCAAATTGTTTAATTATGACACTAGCCTTGTTATTATAATATAATAATATAAGGGTAAACAAGTAGATCATATGTTAGCCTTCGACATGCTAACTAGCTTAACTGTTGCCGTTTAGAATAGCATGTATGCTAGCTAATGTTAGACTTCATGAAAATAAAACAAATACCTAATGTTACGTCTGAACGGTGTTTGTTAGTGATTGCTACACTAAAACTTAAGAGGTCCAAGTTTAACACGCGATTGTGTAGTCATGTGGGAAGGATGGGTTGCATTTTGGAAGGGTTGCATAGCTGCAGAGCCACCTTTAGCAACAACTTTCTGTATTTCTTTATGAATCACACATTGTGCAGGAGTTTTAGCCCGCTCTTCTTTACAGTGTTGCTTCGATTAGTTGGAGTTTGTGCACATTCGACTTTAATATTTAACATACTTACTGGGGTCTGAAGAGTGTAAGATGTAGCGCTCGGGTGTTTTGCAATTCTCTGACAATTGCAAAGTCTGAACTTGGAGGTAGTTTGCACACCTCCATGCTCCCGACCAGCAAACTACCAAAACCTCTTCTTTATGTTAATCAAGTGCATCTCATTATCAACAGTTGGCTGTCATGTAACTTGTTAATTCCTATTAAAAAAAAGTAGTGCTATATAAGCTTTCACAGAAGTGTATGGAGTGCTGTGAAAACTTTCTTTTTCACATGACTGCAATCAATTAAGGTTGTTTTTACAATGCTGCTTTAAAAAGATACTTTTTGTAAAAGTTTCATGTCAAGTATTACATTCTTTACATATAAATGACTTTGTAATGCTTCTTTGCTCTTCTAGCTGCCCAAACAAGTGGGGACATATTGTAATCCTGACTGTTGATCCTGACTTGTCTCATTTTGGATTCAGGACAGACTCGCTGGACTATCTTGTGGTTCAAAGTCGTATTGCATGTGCAATTTCTTATTTTTACAAGTTGTATTAATAAAATTGGCATTTTGATATTCCTTGTAACAGTGCTTTGGCAGTCTTTAAAAGGTCAAGTACTAAAAACAATGCTCGGGATCTAAGCTGCCATGTTTTCTTGATAACCTGTTGTTCCTGCAAAAGCGACGATGAACAGAGCGGTGATACACACACAGATTGCAACTACTGTACTTGTGTGACGCCTCACATGACCAAGAAAACCACCTGACGATACATAAATGGCACAAATCAGCAATGTTTTGGCTGTAACAAGACAGCTACGACTCCAGTCTGTCTCAAGCCTGAGATGAAGTCTTCTGTGTTGGAGGTGGAGGAGGTGCTCGACACTGAAACAATACAGAGAGAAAATAAATGTGGGTTTTAATAAGCACTGATTTGTGTGAGCTCAAAGATATTCAAATCTTCCGTCAGCTAGTCCCAGCTCTGTCTCCGTGTCACCCTGTACCGAGCATCCTCTTCTGTCACACCAGCCCTCTGTGTGTCCTCCGTTGCTACATCTATGAATCCTCTCTGCATGTGTCCAAACCATCTCAGCCTTTCCTCACTAACTTTGTCTCCAAAATTATCAACCTGATCTGTCCCTCTCATCACAAGCATCACATCTACGGTGCTGTTTCTCTGCATGAAGCCCTACTGCTGCTCACTGATCGCCACCTCTGTACCTTCAACAGCTACCTGCACATCATCCTTGTTGAAATCAGTACCAGAACACCACTTCTCCATTCCTCAGGCATCCTTTCCTAATCCTCTACACTTCCTTTACTAACCACCCATGCTCTCATCTCCTACATTCATGAACTCCTCCTTTTTGCGCCGATTCTAAAGCTGTTAGTTTAATCTCTCTGCAAACAATATTGACTGAACCAGCAGCAAAAGAAGATCCAAACATCGTCATGGATTCACTCTGACTTTTGCTGTTTTGCTTCCACCAGGATAAAATCTCACTTCATGCACGGCTCTCTCTCTCTCAGTATACTTCAGGAACAGTTTCCCATCTAAAAATCTGTTTTCTGCATTATTCGCTTGCTTGTTTTTACTTTTACTTACTTCCAAAAAGAAAACCTATTTCTGCTGTTCAATACTGAACAAATTTCAACTTTTTAAAATTATGCAAAATTGCAAAACACTCAGCTGTGTCTCTAATCAAACCTCTGTAACTTCAGCAGCATCAGGTAATGTTCATATGTTGATTAATGGTTTTCTTTCGTTTTTGATCTACTGCAGAATATTTTTATAAAATCCCAGAACAGGAAAATCACCTTCATGTTTTTCTGTGTTTTATCTTCAGCTACTTTGACACAAAGGCCTCTGCTGTGATGCTCACAGCTCTGATAAAGTCTGGCAAGTGTCAGCTTCCTTTTTATAGATATAAAAATATGAAAATGTACTGATGCATGATCAGAATTATAATATTTCTGACTGTCTGAGGCAAAATTTCCCCGATTCAAATCGAATCGATTCTAGAAATCAGTGACGATACCCAGCCCTACTTTTATTCTTGCTTAGAGTCCAGTCGTATATACAGTTCACTTTAAGCCTTTTCTTTGCCACCTCTCTCTGCTGTACATCAACTTCTATCTTATCTTTCTTCATCTCCATGCTTATTATTATAATCCCTATAATTAAAGTCCCTGCTCGCACCTCCAAACTTTTGCCTTTTCTTTGTCTCTTCCTGCCTCTTAAAATGCCCTGTCTGGGCTTGTGCTTCCATGCCTCCTCTGAGGTAGGCTTTTATTTTCTATAAGATACGTGTGGGTGTTGCACCTACTGGTCTCAGTGGAGTGCTGGAGTGCTCAGGAGAGCTGTGGCTGCTGGTTCCGGCCTCTGGCGGTGCAATAGACACAGAGTGAAACACCTCAAATGACACATTTTAGATAGAAAACAGAGAAATAGACTCTACCCGGTCTGTTGCCTGCCAGCTTTGATCCCTCCATTAGAGCAGCCTGCTGTTTGTCCTCCATACTGCTCGGAGAAGCAGCGCTCAGTTCTGAATTACAGCTAGGAGCTGAGGGTGTGGGGATGGGAGGGGAGAAAGGGGGCATGGTTGGGGTTGGAAGAGGCTGGAGAGGAAAATAAACATCAGAAAAACTGATTTTTGAATTTCAGAAGATTCTGATTACCAGGATGTAGTCTCACCTCCATCTCCCCTTTTTCTTCCTCATCCTCCTCTTCACTGTGAACAAGCTCTACCATCAGCGATGGGAAGACGCCGATGTGTCCGTTCAGCTCTCCCTCCCAAAAACCATCATCAACCTGTAAAAAGACTCACTTAGATTTGCAGTCTTCACCCTGAGTGACTGAAGCGAGGTAAAAGCTGGTGGCTGTTAGGGTTTCCCTCCCTTCCTCTGTAGCTTTGAAAGAGCTAAATTGTTATGAGGTGTTTTTTACTGTAAATCGCTAAATAAGCCACACCCTCTATCCATTCATGTAGAGCAGTCATGTTTGTAGGGACAAAAAACATTCTTAAAAAAAGTATTGCTGTTGGTGCATGATGGGCTCTACGTTGTTTTCTACAAATCCAGGGTTGTGATCACTCCAACGTCCAACGGCAGCGTAGAACACACACCTCTCCACGTGGACGGCGTATCAGGTGTATTAGCGCCCCCTCTTGGAAGGAAAGCTCCTCTGCGCTCTGAGCCTGGTAGGAGTACAGAGCCCTGGCTACACCTGAGACACATCAGAGCACATGGTGTAAACTCATATTACGGAAATTGGAAAAAAATACATCTTAGATTCATCTTCTTAATTTATCTTAGTTTTTCAGTTATTTCTTATGACTTTCAGTGACTGAATGAAAATAGACTTGATCCAAGTTTTAGGAAGGATTTGTAGGGCCTGGGTCAATATTTCCCCTCTGAGGCAGCACTTATTTATACAAAGTGCACAGGAAGTAATGTGACGTCAAGTGCAAGTGTAAACATGGCCACAGACCTCTACTCCCTGGCGTCTCTTTAGTCACAGTGGAGGAGGTGGAGCTGAATGAGCTGTCCAGCGGAGTGCTGTCCTCTGCTGGCAGACACAGGAGCTGCACATACCGCTCAGGGACGTAGCCCACCTGACCACACGAGTTACACACCTGCACAGAGAACATCAGAGTAACCTTTCCAATAAAGTACATTATACTGTATCACATCAGTATTGTTACCTTCAGCCAGTCCTCCATATCTCCATCCTCGATTACTTGAAGCTCCTCCCCTTCCATGATTGACAGCTCATCTGATTGGCTAGCCTAAAAGAGATCATTTTCCATTATTTAACTGTAAGCCTGTTAATGCAGGTTATCAAATAGCTGCATGAATGCAAAATATTGTTATTACTCTATAGTAACATTATAGTGATACAAACCTAAAAAATATAACACAGACCTGCTTATTTTATGAAAACATCAGTTCAGTGCTGTATGCAAAGACTGGCCCAGCTTTGAACAGCAGGAGACACTCAGTCTGTCCTTTTCTACATCAAGTGCTGTGTAGAGAATGCGACATCCGTGTTTTTGCTAACCGAAAACTTTGGACGATGAGTGAAGTACAGGCTCTGATCAGAACTCGGGACAGTTTTCTGTGAAGCGCTCCTCCAACCTAAGGAGGGGTGCAAGCAGCATCCCAGGGGATGTGGTTAAAGCCTGCATGGACCAAATGGCAGAGATCCTCACTGGGCTGTTCAACCTCTTCCTGACTAATGTCATTCCCACCCGTCTGAAGGGCTCCACCATCATTCCCATCCCTAACCGATCTACCCACCAATGTCATCGTCAAGTATGCCAATGACACCACTGTGGCTCATCTCTGATGGAGATGTGACAGCATAAAGGGCAGAGATGGAGAACTTGTCCTGCTGGTTCTCAGAAAATAACCTGAAGCTGAACGTCCTTCAGGAGGCACAGGCAGGTCCACCCTCCTCTCATTATAAATGGAGAATGGGTGGAATCTGTCTCCACCTTCAGGTTTCTGGGCACCCACATCTCAGCTGATCTCATCTGGATCAACACCAACACCCTGGTAAAGAAGGCCCTGCAGCGGCTGGACTTCCTCCATGTCCTAAAGAGGAATAACCTGGACCAGAACCTGCTGCTGTCCATCTACTGCTCCTCAGTGGAGAGCCTCCTCTCCTACTGCCTGGGTGATTCATACCCAGGGGCCACTACTGAGGACAGGAAGGCTGCGCAGAGGGTAAAGAGCACCGCCCAAAAAATCATTGGCTCCCCTCTATGACCCGTGCAGGCCATCACCAGATCCTCCTAACTTAAACTTCTTTTTTGTTCATTTCACATCTCCAACATCGGGCTCGAGCATGCTTTGGGGTAGCTGATGAAGGACCTTCTTGCTTTGATGCAACAGTGCTATCCACTGCACCACTATGGCACCAACAACAGCCTTGAGCATCTTGTAAACACCTTAACAGCTCTGCTTCAGACTTTGTACAGATCTTTTAGACTCATTGATTCATGGAATTTGCTAAAAAAAAAGTTTTAAAAAGTGTGTGTGTGTGTGTGTGTGTGTGGGGGGGGGGTGCTGATGATCACTACCTGATAGCTGTAAATACCTCTGCAGGCTGCAGGGTAAACACACACTCCAGATGCTGACACTGGATCTGTGAAGATCTCTCCATTATCATCGTAGTCCTCAAAGTCAGTCAGCTCAAACTCATCCTCCTGCAAAACAAAGTTTTTAAGGGTGTCGTCTCCACTCTGATCCCAAAAATATTTTTAGAGCATCTGCAAGACATGCTGAGTGATAAAACAAGTGTCATCCAGCAAGCATGCACTGAAGTTAATTCTGTATCTGAAATAGTCTTTAGCCTGTTTGTTCCCCTGTGTGTAACATCTGTTGTGTGCAATTATGTTGTGGAGTCATACTTGTGTGTTTTTGTTGTAGACAAAAAGCGACTTCCTGTGTTGTGTTGGAGGCTGACGGCTGATTTTAAGGTCAGGGCAAAGTTGAAGTTAAAGAGAACGTATTTTGCTTTCCTTACTTTCTGTCACATGTATAATGTTTCAGTGGTGGAGGCTTATATTAAAGTTATACAGTCTAATAAAGTTTCAAATAATGAGGTCAGGATGATATCCCTATGTTCTTCATCTCAGATACACCTCTGGTTGGTCTGCAGGCGATGGTCAGAGGCAAAGGCAAAGATTCTTGGGTAAAGAAAAGGGTAAGGCTAAAAAGTCATATAAATGGTAAATAGTCTGTATTTATATAGCGCTATTCTAGTCCCTAAGGACCCCAAAGCGCTTTACATATCCAGTCACACACACATTCGCACACTGGTGATGGCAGCTACATTGTAACCACAGCCACCCTGGGGCGCACTGACAGAGGCGAGGCTGCCGGACACTGGCGCCACCGGGCCCTCTGACCAATAGGGCCCCATATAAACATACAAGTAAAACTTAAGGTGTAACACAAGTGATTGACAATTTATACCATGTACTTTAAAAAAACACTCAAATGAAGTGGGGTCATTTTCGACCCCAGAGGACAAAAGGAGTTTTGCGTTACGAGTGATAGAGGCCTCTAAAGAGGACATGCAAGCCACCATGTGATGAAAACGCAGCTCAATCTGTGTGTTTGCTTGTTTGCATACTGAAAAGTCTTCAGTAGACTTCCTCTGTTCGCTGAGATGTCGCTCTCTCTCCAACTCCTCTTCCACCTGGTTCATGGCAGCATGAAGCCATTGTTCTGTTCCTGGTGTGCTCTCTGACAGCAGGGCCAGGCGAGCCTCGGCCTTCGCCCTGTTCAGCTGAAAAACCAGGAAACTTAGTTAGACACACACAGACATGTGACTCTGAACCCCGAGTCGCACGGATTCTGTGTAACTCGCGAATTTTCCTGAGCTTTGGTTTGGTCATAAGCTGAAACCAAGCTGATTTTGTGTGCCTCAGTTAAACGACCATGATCAACATCGAAATCTAAATCCCTCTGAGACAAATTCAACTACACAGACATGACATCTTTTATATTTCAGCTATTATAATGTAGATTTCCAGATGCCGTTATTATATATTGCCAAACTCATTGCTCCCCAATATAACCCACCGTCTGTGTTATTCACTTCACCTCTCTGTGCTCGTGAAGTTATGCCTGATTGGTATGGTATTGGTGATGTCACTGCTGTGATGTCACAGATTCAGATTCAGCTAATGATATAAAACTGATCAAACCTGATACAGCACCAATTTTTATTTCACCAGTGCAACAGATTTTGTGCTTTGGAGCGTTTTTAATCTGACGATTGATAGTGTTGATACTTCGTGGTATCAACACTAGTGCAACACTAATTATCAGGTTAGCAGTGTTTACGTGATGCACCCTTAAAATTTAAGGATGCAGTTAGAAATAAAAGCATGAGCTTCTGTGGTCATGTTTGTGCTTTGGTGTGTGTTTGTGTCTGGTGGTCATTCAGCCATGCTTCAGTACACCCAGGAAGAGTCCACAGTATTTTGATGCTGATGGACAGTTTCTAGCAGTCCAGGGCA